TCACCTCTCCAGATCCCACTCCTCTGTGAAAGTCCAGGCAGGTTTCCACTTCGCTCGGCAGCCTCCCAACCTTCCTTTCTGACCATGTTCTCTTGGTTCCACCAGACTGCTCTTAACCACTGCCTGTGTACTATAACCCTGTGTGCCATCCAGTCTTTGACATGATACTTTATAAACACTATAACCTCTCTGGGGACATATGTCATTCTTTGTTCTTTTCTGGGTTTTCACAGTTGACACCTTTATGATGAGCATGCACATCACTGCACCATGAAGGGGCAGCAGGACTCCCCTTTTCTGACTGGGTCCCAAGTCTGAGAATCTCGGTAAACACAACATTGTCAGAAGATGCACTGCTCTGCAACCTCAATTTCTATTCTATTCTATTCTATTCTATTCTATTCTATTCTATTCTATTCTATTCTATTCTATTCTTCCTTCCCTCCTTCCTTTCTTTCTTATTTTTTCCTTTCTTTCTTTTCTTCTTTCTGTCTTCCTTTTCTAGAACGGTATAGTGCTTTATGAGATGGATTATAAGGAGATAGTAGGCTTTAAAGGGGCAGCTCCATCTAAGTGGTAGATGCATACACTGCACTGGTCCACATTAAAAAGCAGGCCATAAATTTGCTAGTCATATTTAGTCAAGAACTAAGGAAGACAAAAAGGGGAAGTGCTCATAAAGTCCTACCTTCAACCAAGAAGCTGTTTGCCAATGATACCTGCTGGGTATCAAAAGAATGATGCATGGTGAACATTGCCTGGGGGAACTATGAGAAAGGCTCCAGGAAACAAGGCAGAGGGCCTTTTACTGCATGCACATTTTGTTCCCTGGATTGTTCTTGGACATTATGTTGTGCCTCCTGTACAAACATTTACATTCAATTTATAAGACATGTTTATTCTTGTTAGATGTCAGAACAGTAATAGGGCCATCTGCCTCGCTTTCATGTTTTCCCAGATTAATCTATACTATGTGCCAGGCAACAGTGTTTAAATTGGTCTATTCTGAGAAAGTTCTGGGAAAGGGCTGCTCTATTAGTATTTAGTAAGTGTTCACTAGAGTTTATTTACATGTTTTTCTGATCATGTTTTTTTTTGAACTCCAACAACATTTCTTGAATAGTGCTTTCTTTGTTACACCCATGTATAAAGTCCACTGAAACTGAAGTAAAGTTGTTGCAGCATTCGACTGTAGTCTGTTCCATTGTTCTAGGTCTTCAAATCCCAGGTCTCCCAGACAGATCTGCCTAGGGCGATAAAGATCAACACTGGGAAAGGGAAAATCACTTTTCTCCAATGGAGTGTTGCTGGCATATTAACCACATTCCATGGTAGGCCCCATGTCCAAGAGTTGCTGATCAACACAAAGCAGACTCCATGGGTTGGGTTTGGTGTGTGTGTGTGTGTCTGTATTTTGTTTTGTTACTTTTGTGTTTTTTGTTTATTTGTTTGTTTTGGCCTTATTTTATGTCTTCTTTTTGAGAGAGAGAACATATGAAGTTGGGTGGGTAGGTAGGTGGGAAGATTTTGGAAGGAGTTGCGGGAGAGATAAGAATACAATAAAAATCTATTATATGCAAAAATTTGATTTTTATCTATTATATGCAAAATTAAAAAATATCTAAGGAAGAGAGCAACCTATCAATAATAAAAATAACTAGAACTTACTTTGGTCAATTCAGTTTGGCAAAGCCTTTTGATATTTCAATTATCTGAAGCATTTTTAAACATACTAGGTAATGGGACATTGTCTACATTGCAAAAAGTAATGGTGACTTAAATAATAAAAGCCCTCATGACAATATTAATGTTCAAGAATGAAATAAGTCAGCCACTGTCCTTCTCTTTAAAGATCATCAACTGAGAACTCAGTAAATCTTTTTCCCACCTCTACCTCATCTGGGCAGATGGAGGTGGGAAGAGATGGGAAAATGAGCCCCAACTCCCCACTTTTCTAGTTCCTGGAACTCACTTGTTGTTATGGTAACAGTGACATCAAGTTGTGACCCTGTGAGCATCCTGTTGTAGGATGACCATCTAAGCATCCTTGTAGCTTTCTGTTTGGAAATAATTCAGCATTTTTTCAAACAATGGTCTGGATGATGCAATACATTGCAAGGGCAATTCATAAACAATGTGACTGGGAAAATGATTCTCCCTCACCTTCCCTAACTATTATTCATTTAGGCGATAGGTTTCAGAGGGAAATTCTTGTGTTGGAATATTGGCAGTATGGATCAGCAAAACACACACTTCACAGACCAAATCCACCCCCTCTCATGTTCATACATCCTGTGAGTTAGGGATTGTCATTTTATTTCTAATGTTTGGAAAAAAGAACTGAACTGGAGACATAACTCACTGGCAGAGCGCTTGCCTTAACATGCTCAAGCCCTGGATTCAATCATCAGCACCATAAAAAGAAAACAAAACAGTAAAGAAAAGACTAATCTTGATGAGACCTGAGAATTACACAAAATTAACATTTCAGCCTCAAAATAATGTGTCCTAGAAATACAGCCATGTATAATTATTGACATTGTTCGCAGTTGCTTTTGTGTTGTAGGACCAGAGTTGAGTAACTGTAACAGAAACTTTAGGCTTATAAAGCCCAAAAATATTTACTATGTATTGCATTGTGGGGAAAGGATGCTGGACTCCAACCTACAGACATGGATTGTATGGGAGGAGTTAGACTAGGAAGTAAAGCATCCTGTCACAGGCACTTGGGATGGAGATCCAGGCGTTTTCTGGTCAGGGTTCCTGATCTTATCTACCTCTGTACATAGTTTCATAATGGAGGCCACTTGAAATGGATGTGTTTAAACATCACGTTCACCCAAAACACACAGTGAAAATTAACACCCAGTGCCACCATACAGAGAACTGGGCCAATCTGGGATCTGATGAGATTACAGAAATTCCACTGTCATGAAGAGGTTCACTAAGTTGATAAAATGGCTGGAGGGAACCAGCCAGGCCCCCTTTGCCCATTCTGTCCCTTCTGCCCTATGAGTACACTGAGCTTCAGGTGCCATCTGGGAAGCAGACACTGACCTCTCAGCAGACACTGAACATGCTGGTATCTCAATCTTAGACGTCCATACTCACAATAAATCTCTATGTTTACAAATGACCAAGCTTCAGGTATTTTTCTATAAAAACACAAAAGGACTGAGATAGAATTTGCTTCCTAGATGTGTCAGATATGTAATAAGCATGTGGGCGCAGCTTTGGGCTAGGATAACAGGTAGAGGCTAGACTGTAAAGAGCTATTCTGATGTAGGCCTAGAGAGCCTCAGGCTTCTCAGAGACTGTCTAAGTGGTCATGAACAGAGCACTGAGTGCATGATGAATAGTAAGGACTGCTCTGATGTCAACCCAGAAGGAAGCTGCTATCAGAAACTAGAGAAAACGCTGCCCTCATTGTTGAGTGGCAAAACCCTTGGCTGAACTGCATCCATGTTCAAGTTCATTAGAAGGAACTTGCTGGTGATGAACAAGCATATTTAGAAGAAGAAATCTCTAAACAAAAATGATGATGGAGGAGACATGTTTTCTCATGAATGCTTATAGGAAAATGCGAGAAGAGAAAAGTGAATTAAAAATGCCATTTCTCAGTCCCATCACATAAACAACAAAAAAGAATGTTGGGAAGAGAATGCCAACGGTATAACCAAATATTTGGTTAAGATGTGTCTGAATACAAAGAATCTGAATGTTATTCCCAAAACAATAGAAGAATCATCCCAACATCATCACAGAGATCTTCCAAGGTCCATCTCCATCACCAGGTACTAGGGCCTTGAGGGGATAGTAGTTTCATAGGAGAAGCCCAGAACTCATCGAACTCCAGGCCTGCTTCCCAGCACTGACTCAAGTTTCTGCTTCATGTATTTAGGCACAGTGTTTCTTGGCTCAAGTGGACCAGCTGTAACTTAGGCCACTGCTCTGATAGGAACACGTTATGACATCTGACAGGGTCATGCAATGCTAACTCTTCAGGTACACAGAGTCTATGCACCTGTTTATGGACCTTAAAGTCCAGGAAGAGAGTTGTTTCAGGGCAAGTCTGCAACAAGCAGTACCCACTGATGCAGTATCTAGTGGAACTGTGGGACTAAGGCCACTCTAGGACCACCAGCACGTGAAAGTAGTCTGGGAGGTTTGAGACTCCAGCTTCTGAGAGTTGTAGCATGGGCCTTTCCATCCTGCTGTGTCTGGAAGCTAGGACTTGAAGTCATAGATTATTCTTAAATCTCAAGATTACTTTTATTGGACTGGGAAATGGCCCAGTTAGTCAGCAGATTACCTTGCAATCCTAAAACTCCGACCTTTCAGCACACACGTTAAATAATCCAGATGTAATAGCAGGTGTTTTCAATCCCAGCAACAGGCGGATCCCTGGGACTTGATGTTCAGGTAGATTAGCCCACAGAGTGCATTCCAGGCCAAGGAGATCCTACTTCCTCTTTACTTTTTGGTCTTGTTGGATTTGGGACTTACTTGGGGCCAGTCACCTACCCTGTCCTCTTTGGCATTCTTTCCTTTTTGAGATGGGGCAGTCTCTCATAAGCCTGTTGCACTACTGTTTTGGAAGCACTTACCACCTTTACTTCCACAGTGTCAGAGCTGGAAGGGAAAGGGCCATTGGGGTTCCTGTGGTGAATGAGATTAAGGTCTTTATAAAAGATGTGCCACATAGTGCTTCCTGCCCTTCTGCGGATCACCAGGAGAGGGTGAAGTGACAAGGTACCATCTTGGAAGTGGGGATGTCCAGTCATCACCAGACAAGGGAAACTCCAGGATGGACCTTGATCTTTGTCCTCCCGTCCCCACAGTTAATGAGATATGATTTTGTACTGTTTGTAAATTACCTAGTTTCAGGCATTTTGTTGTAACACCCAAAGGAACTAAGACAGCATCACACAACTGGATCACATAGCTTGTGGCTGTGCTTCAGCACCACGTCCTTTAGGGACAGGCAGCACATGACTTACTCCTTCATGTGGTTCATCTTGGTCCTGGCCATGGCGCTGTTGAAAACTGATGGTCTCGGGGACATGTCTGCAGCCGCACTGGTAATGGTCCTTGTGTCTGAAAAATCAATGCACATCCCTTATTGACTTCATCAACACTCCTATAAACTCAAGGTGATGTTCAAGGGCAATTAGAGAAGAGAGGTTAATCCACCTTTGCCACAGGTAATGCTACATTAATTAGAGAGTAATTCAATTATCATGTCACATTAATGAGATTTATTTCAAATGATAGCATTTTTTACAGTGCTGAGATGCACCAAGATTTCAAATACCAACCCTCTCTCAGAAAACTGTCTAAACATAGTATTGTTAGGTAAAAGATGAGTTTTTATATTAGAAAACCCAGGAGCTATCTATAGAACCAACATTCTGGGGAGCTGTGGGTCAGTGTGTGTGCTATCTGTTTAACTATCAGGGATGTCTGCTAACAACACACTTTCCCCGCGTCTCATCCCCACACTTGGCCGTTAGCCCTTTTTGGAATGAGAAGCAGAAAGCTGATGGGGTCACCTGCAGTCCTGAGTCCAGAAGCATGGAGGAGGCCAGAGCCGGTGCAGAGCTGTGAGGGAAAGGTGAGACATGGCGACCTCTATCGGGACACTTCCTCCTGAGACCCCAGGGACACTTCCTCCTGAGACCCCAGGGACCCATACGAAACACTTTGGAACTGAGAGACCCTGCAACGACACAACTTCCCATGAAGAAGCTGAACCTGGACTGGGCAGATGGCTCAGTGTGTAAGAGCACCGAGTGCTCTTACAGAGGACTAAGCTCGATTCCAGCACCCACACGGAGGCTCACAACCATCCATGTATGGCTCCAGTTCCAGGGAATCAAACACCGTCTTCTGGCATCTATGGGCATGGATGCATGAAAGTGGGGCACACACACCCATGGTAGGCAAAACACCCCCACACATAAAGTAAGGTAAAAATTAAAAGTTGAGGAGCTGGATGTGGCTCATGGGCAATGGCTCTGTATATCTATAGAGTGGGGCTCCCCAGTCAGCTTTGGCTCCATGGATCTTGGGGGCAGGGACTCTGTTTCCTTAGGGTTATCTCAAAGATGCTACCCATCCATTGGTACAACTCTGTGTACTCATACCCATTCATCACTTACAGATGTGTAAAGACCCAGGCTGTGAAATTCCTGGTCTTATCTCAGCTAACCTCACATAAATATGACCGATTTGAGGACACCTCAGTGAATCAAGGACCAATTGCTGCTTTACACAGTAGTAAAGCTATTTTCCTTCATATTTTAAAATGTAAAAAAAAAAGTGCAAACCCTAGTTTCTTTCCACATATATCCTCCTTTTTGGTAGACCCTGAGGGCATGGGCTCTGCTCTGAACATCTTGTTCTTATAGATTTTGTAGAGATGATGTTTATCTTGCATAATTTGGTGAGGTTCTGCTCTGGGCACAAAATTATTGCATCTCCAGGCACGAACTTTGAAGAGGGCACATTCCAATTAATGAAACAGCCTGTCTGTCCTTCCTAGTACCTGACCACATGCCTTCATGTTACAGTCACAAGTACTGGCAGTTGGTTGTTGCCCCTCTGTTATTCTTATGCCACGGCAGGTTCCTGCCAGCTGTCATCTTTCCACCAGCTCTGGCCAGGACAGATCCCTGTCGACAGGCAAAGCTAGGGATGGGAAAGAGGAAGGCCTAGAGGATCACTTCCCAACAGCACAGGTCCTGCTTGAACCTGAAAAGTTACTAAACATGTAACTAAACACCGGGAAGTGCATTCCCGGTGAGCTCAAAAATCAGTTCTGCCGAGAGTGAGTGGTAAGCTCCTTCCCCTCTTCAGGAGAGGGCTGGCAAGTCCTCAAGGCTTAGGTAGCTAAAGGTCAAAGCAATTTCCAGGAGCGCTCCAGGTTATTTCAAGCTGACCACTCTCCTCATTGCTGGCTCTCAAGTCCAGCGGTAGAGAAGGGGGAAAATGAGTTCAATCTACAGCACCGGCCGGCAAAGCAAGGTGCTTAGTAAGCAAGTCCTTCTCCATGCTTCCTTCCTCCCCAGTCCCTGAATTGCAAATGCTAATTTGACGTACCTTGCCCAGAGCTCCCATTTAAAATGGACATTTGTAAGGAATGGGTCTGGACAGAGCTGGGGATTCCACATTTCTGGTTAGTGTCCATGCTACTGGCCATGGGGGGCAAGGCTCTTAGACCAAGCTACGTGATGTGGGGTTCAGTTCAACACAGCAACACAGAACTCCTTATTCAGAAAGCGAACAAGAGCTGTTTTCTCCATTCTGCAGCTCTCTCTGGACTCGCCATTGTGTTTATTTTTCTATTCAAGTTTTCTTTTACTCTTTTTAGATAAATATTTAATGTACCTTTCCCTCAGGAATTAGTGACATTCACAGAGGTCTGGGGAGTCCCTCTGGTCCCTGACTCTACCTCATCCACACCAAGACCTCTGAAGATGATGACAAATTTCACCCACAAAACACATATCCAAAGATAACATGTTATTAAATCCTTAATGTGTGGCTGCCACCTAAACCTGAGGTCCTGTGTAACTGCATGGGCCACACACACTCAGAGACCCTAATCCTGGAGTTCATTCTTAATTTTTTTTAAACGGAAGAATCTCTATTGTCTATGTTGGGTTTTAAATTAATTTTCTCTTAGCAGATTTCAAGAGAAGTTTCATACAAATAGAAAATAGTGTGTGTGAGACATACACAAGTGTCAGAAACAGTTGCAATGTTGAGAGTCTCTCAGGGAACTCTCCCTGCCCCCAGGGGTCTTGCATCATTGAGCAGGAATAGCATCCTTACTTAATTTAGATTGACCTTTGTCTTGGCTTTACCGTCATCGTTTTTTCTAAAGTACAGTGCTTGTATATAATATATACAACACTGTAAGGCATGGGGAATGCAGAGAAGTGTGACGAGGGTCATGGGGTAAGCGCTGGTATATAATATACACAACACTGTAAGGCACAGGAAATGCAGAGATGTATGACGATGGTCATGGGATAGCGCTCACCTATAAGGACCACAGCTGCTATTCCAGCTTTACTCTCACCAGCTGCACTGCCCCCCCCCAAGCTACCTCCCGGAGCCCCAGCTTTCTAATTTTAGAGTCAAGTGGTTTCATTAGCTGAGAGCCTTCCCTCACTCCTGTGAACAGGCATAGGACTTGTGTGCAGGACACAGAGTTTATTACAGAAGAGCCTCTCTGCCCTAACACAGACAATGAGCAGCAGCAGGAACCAGTGCACAGAGACAAGGGGCTGGGAGTAACAAGTGTCCCAAGCATTACATGATTGTAGGCAAAAGCATCAAGAAGTCTCTTTGCTCTCCAGTGAAACACAAAATGATGATTATAACACCTGCCACACCCCATGGAGATGTTTTGACAATGAGGTGAGAACACAACGGTAGGGAGAGGCATTGAGCAAGCAGAAGCTTCACTTGCAGGGCTCAGCTCATAACAATAATATCAAGATTCCTCCCACTCCTGTGGACTCTCCTGGGCAGAGAGATCTTCCCTGTAGAGGCAACAGCTTGATGGTGTTGACATTTTACCAGGAGAGATAGATTCTCTTCTGATTCTTTTTTCTTTGTGAGAGATTTCCCTCTAACTCGTTTCAGTAGCTGGATAGGTAACCTTGATCATAAAGCCAAAGCTCTGTCTCCCCCTCCCCTACTAAGTGTCCTGCATGTGGGCATGTGGGCAGGGAAAGCTGATGCAGGCACTGCAGGGGTGGATATTTTGGCTGTGATGTCACCTAAGTGCCCAGGACATTGCTTACTCAGGAATCCTTGCAGACACTGCCTTTTGGTGTGCTGGTCTCTTAGAACACTTCTCCCTAACAGCCCTTACCCCTCTCCTCTTGCCCTTAAGTTCCCAAGGCATATTCAGACATTAGCAGTTGCTTGACATGCATCAACTTTTTTGTCCAAATAATTGTGAAAGCATGTCCTCGTGGCCCCTATTTCTTCTCCTTTTTGAATGGGATCTTTATTTCTGAAAAGGGACAGGTAATCACCACTTTAGAATTTGCAGGCCATACAACCTCTGCCATATTTATTCAACTCTACTGTTCTAGCAGGAATTCAGCCATAGGTACAAGTATGAAAATGAACATGGCTATGTTCTAGTGAAATTTTACTCACAAGAACAGGTAGTGACTAGGTTTGGCCTGCTGGCTACAGTTTGCTGACCTCTGACCTCAGTGATGGAGAATCATCGTGGCGGTAGCTATAGAACTCCTCAAGACAAACGCTTCATTTTACCAGTGGGGAGACTGAGGTAAAGGGAACCTGTGAGACTTGCCCAAAGTTGCAAGAATCAGAAGGGGAAAAGTTTGGGCTAGAACCAGTTGTCAGATGCCTCAAGAGTAGTCTTTCTAATCCCCAACAGATGGATTTTAATGTACTGATTTAAACAAATTCAGATAATCTGACAAAAACCCTCCCCCAAAGGCTGAAATATGGGCAAAACATTACATCTGCCACCTCACTCCTGCCTCCCTGGTGGCAAACCAAGAGCTTCCCCCCAGAAGGCCCATGTGTCAGCAGGACACCATGAAAGCTGTTCTACTCTGCTAAGAGGATTAGCTGACTCAACCTTTGGGAAGGTTTTTTCTTGAGTGTTTCCTATGAAGATAGTGAATTTAGGATAGCAATAGAATTGCCTAAAAGTGACAGAGTAGGCTTTTGCCTATCTTTACTATGTCACCCCAACACCCCAAAGAGAGAATGCATTGTTCAGAGCTGCCTTCAAGGAAGAATGGAATGTGCTACCTCGGCTGTAGACAGTCTCCAATTATGCTCCTTTCTAGAACAGCATGGAGCTGCCTCTCTCAAGCTGAGCCCTTCCAGGTGCTGGCATTTAATGACTGACCACGGGAGAAACAGAAAGCCGGCCCTGAGGTCTTTTAGGACAAGCGGGGCTCTGAGCCCCATGAGCCTGCATAGGATTTGTCAGGGTTGCAGCAATGCTTAGCTTCGCATCTGCTTCCTCCGATGTCCTTTCCTCTTGTGGCTCCAAGGACTATAGACACTTACTCATAAATGTCCCACACAGTCTA